CGGCAACATTTCGAGAAGAAAAATAAGAAAAGCGCGCAAGAAGCCGATCATTTACAGGTTATGCTTTATTTTTCTCTATTTTGTCTTAATAAGGTAACAATCAGAAGAAAATTTTTTTAAACTTAACTGGAGGGAGGAGGCAAAAAAGTTACGCAGAAATGAGTTTATCGATTCGTAAATAAAGGCTAACGGAAATAAGGAAGGAGAGCACGAAATCTGAAATAAGAAATCGGCCGTGCTTTTTTTTGTACGGCCGATTTCATTTTTGTATCGATTGTATAAAAATTTTTGAAACAATTTAGGCACAAAAAAAAGATAGTGGTAGTCTAGCAAAGGCAAGCCTATATCTAGGTGGATGTATAAATACCATGGAAGAGCAGACATAATTCATTTCGCGTCACAACAAAATTTTTTTTGTCGAGGAAGTGATCAGTAGAGTAGTTTTGCTTCTTTAATTTTTGCTTTAGTCAGGTTGTCATCAGAATAACAGACATACTTATTTATCTAGGCATGACAAATTTGTTCGGGATTTGAGGTTTGTTTTCTAAAAGCTCAATTTTTAGAAAAAACTGGAACAGCTTCAGTCAAAATTATTGGAATTGGATTTGGGTATCATTGTGGAACCATCACCAAAAAGTGCTGTGCTCAATAATATTAGGTTTGTTTTCATCCCAGTTTTACCTGTCTTGCGTACATATAGATTTAATCTTTTTTGCTTTTCTTCAATGCAAAATTATTATATTGTGCCGAATATTTACGTGCTGAAACCAAAAATTTGGCTCATGAGGGATTATTGTAGCGGAAATTCTTGTGGCCTTCCTTTTGCAAATCTCTTTTGTACCGAGGTTTAGATTTTCTTTCCATAAAATCTCTCACTTCAATCTTTTGATTAATTCGAACTTATTTTTACTCCTTGAATACTACCCTCCATCAGCTTTCTTCCAAACAAATAAAGCAGAGTTTCTTCGTTTCATTTGTTAGCTTGCTGATAGTTCCAACGTTTGTTTACTTGCTTACCATTCTTTTATTAAAAATAGATTAGGAGAAAAGAGGTCAGTTCAAGTATCTTGTGAAAGAAGATCTGTTTGGATGCAGTCTATGTTTCATCCCTTAGCTGTAAAAACAGACCGAACACAGCAAGCGTGGATAGGAATTTTGAATACACTACATCTTCATTGCATTCGTTTGCGTCCTGTTTCAAGTTTTTTTTTTTTAGCAATTCTCCTGTGCTTGTGCATCGTAGTCGCCATCTACTTAGGGTGCTAAAACTTGTTCGTTCGTATGTATCTGTGAGATGCAGAGGCATGTAATGCAATTTTAGGAGAAAATTAAGTGGTCATACAGTTTAGCAGTCTTTATAACGCGCATATTTATC